GTAAATAGTTGTATCTTGACCTGCAAGTTCTACTTTATTTCCTGATTCCCTTCCCCCATCCCACTGGAAAACAAGTACTGAGTGAATGACTGTATGGTGTTCAGCCACATGCTGGATTAAACCACAACACAGTGGCATGTGTCAGTTGAATACATGTGAATCACAAGAACAACATCTTGAGATCTGGCACTCCAGCAGAGTGGCAGCTACAATCCTACAAATGTGTTCCTGGCTTGTATCTGTTGCAAGTGAATAAATATTGAGCTAGTTCCTTCAAGCATGTTTTCATTCCCCTTAGTACATCAATAGAGTTTCAGGTATGAAAGAAGAGGAAAAACGTGCTTTGCAGTAATGAAAATCCTTACAGTGGGTTTTGAAGGGAAAAAAAAAAAAAAATCCAAAAAGCAAACCGAAAAACCCTTATCAATACCCAAGCCTCATAGTTGGAGTTGAAGTAATTGTGTTAGCTCTGGCCTTGACTGTATCTCTCATGAAAGGAGTGCTGAATATGTGCTAAATGTTTTTTGGTCTTTAATGCCTACACAAAGGCATCCAGGCACGTAAATATTTAGTGATGTTTTTCACATTAGTAGCTGGCTCTGAATCAAATAAATAATGACGTTTAGGCATTTCTGTGCTACAAAGAAAAGGTGGCTATCTTCCTTGCTAAGCACTTAAGCACATTTGCAAACCTGATCTTTAGTGTTCTTAATATTATTCTGTGCAGAGGCAGTTGGGCACTGACTTTTCTATTCCCTGAAAAGTTCCAGTGCTTTCATAAATGATTCAGAACAAAACATCTACACTTTAAAATGTCCCCCAGCATGAATTTTGAAAGTAACTTCTGCATGTTATAATGTCTTGGTTTAGAGCTGCTATATTCAAATTCTTGAGCATTCTACATTACATTAAAATTTGAATGTATGAAGTAGATGGAAACAATACTTTGATATTTTTTTTTTTCTAAACAATAGAAAGCATAACTAAGCAATGTATTTCTATGCTGTTCACAGCCTCACTTTTCAACATAAATGAATCCTGCTTATGGGCTTTCAAACAAACACACAGATATGTAATACGTAAGCCAGAAGTAATTTCTGGTAAAGTATCCTTGTTTAGGTACTCTTGCTGAAACGCATATGTAGGAAAAAAAATTGAGATTGTCTTTTTTTTTTTAATCATTCTGCTTCAACGAACCATCGGTGGAAGGAATAGTGAGTATCACTTGGAAAAAGCTGGCAAATTTGGTCACTGTTTTTACAGTATAGAAAATATTAAAGACTATGTATCTTTTTATTTTTGCTTTTCTAAAAACACAGACTAACATATTCTTTGTTCCCACGCTGGAAACTTCTCACAGCCCAAAGCAAGGCAATACAGCTATCTGTATCATTTCCTGTTTTATGCTGCCATGCTCTAGGAATATTGAAGAACATGTGAAACTTCTACATTTTCTAAATCTGAAGGGGATTATTTGAACCTCAAAGGAGTACTGTGCAGAAGAAAGTCATGTTTTGCTGCAAGCAATGTGAACTAAGAAAGAATATATAAATACAGCCTGAGACCAATAAATCTGTAACTGCAAATACATGGTGGCAGTAAATGGCTTCCCTTTAATAATGAAATACCACACTGGCAAAAATAAATATATAACTTGAGCTACCCAGCCATCATTGGGCTACGAAATACTGAGGCTTTGGAACAGAGAGCCCTTTCATTCTCTAGAGTGCACTTTGGCCCCATTTCAAGTATTCTTCTGAAAATGTGAGGGCTAAAATCTTACTTGAACAAGTGTGGAAACTGAGACTGTCACACAGCCACTTGCTCTGGAGCTCTAAGTGGAACTTCAGGTAGTTCAGAACTGGCAGTGATGCTACAGTTGGCAGCATTACCGATGACCAAATCTCTCTTTATAAAACAAAGCACTCATTGGCACTGAAGGTACTGTTTCTTGGTTTGAAGAAAGAAAGAAAAATATTTATTCAATAAAGAAAAACTTATTGGCCGATGGAGAGGAAAAGAGAAGGTTTTTTCATCAGACACATAGAGGAATACTCTTTTGCTACAGTGATTTCTGGAAGATTTCAAAACCCTAAGTTATTCCTTTTTAATAAAACAAATGTTTCCTTTGACATGGGGGACGAAAATCTCTTCTTAAGCTCAGAAACTACAACTTAGCTTTGGCTAGGGTTTTTCTTTCAGTGGCGTTTCATCTGTTCCCCTCCTATCCCAGTTATTCCTTCCTGTTCGTGCTGCTGCTCATCCTACCAAGTTTGACCTACCAAACGCTGGCTGCCTTTACTGCTGACATTAGAAGCTTTCTTAGTGGATCACAGTTATCTTAAGTTGCCTTAGGACTCTCTGTGGTGGAAATGAAATTTTTATATATGGTATCAGGCAGCGGGATATGGTCCTTCCTCCTACTTTCCCTTCCATCCTTTCAGGTACCCACAGTATGTGCAGCTTCTACAGAGCTGTGACACACCATACTCTCTCTGAGTTCACTGAATTACAGGTAACCAACCACCATCATCAGTGCTTTGAGGAATCCTTTGGATACTGCTTCTCGGCATGAACAGCACTGAATCAAATCAATGCTCTCTTGGGCACTCAGTTTCTCTGGGCCTCAAAAAACAAGGAAGGCATCCTTTCTTCAGGCTTCTTTGGTTTTTTTGTTGTTGTTGTTGTTTTTTTTTTTTTTTTTTAATTAAGGAAGCTTTGTTTCAGTCAAAAAAATAATATTTCTTTATGTATTGTTTCTTAGAAAGAAATTCCAGGTTGCAGTTTAGCAATGCAGGAAGGTTAGAGCTCCTCTTATCACACTGGAACCATCGCTAAACTGGGATGATTCACTCCCCAAAGTCTTATTTCTGTGGCTGAAGGCTTTCTGCTGTACTGGCTGCTGTTTTCTGGGCCAATCTAACCTCATGTCCTATGCTGGCACAAAACAAATGTAAGAACAGAAGGCTGGCAACAACTTCCTGCTGTATGCTCCGACACGCTTGACGAGAGTGTCATAATGTGATCCACCTCCATTCTGAGTCAAATTTGTATTACTGTGAGATTCTTTCCAATGGTGGAGAAAACGCAGCCCTCTTAAGGAGAACTTACGGGCTTGCATCTCCCATAATGGCCACCAGATAAGCCTGTCCAAGTGAAGTGCCAACAATTCACTGTCTGTCACTAGCTTTCTACTGATCACCAGCTTCTGTCACCTGCAATAGGCAGAGGATATGTCATAGCTTTAAGATATAGAAATGGAGTTTAACTAGATGAAAGTTATTCCATACAGACTGCTGACCTGCTGCTGTTTTCCTCATCACGCAAATCAAACAGCACTGCTGTTGGAAGCACTAGCTGAGCTCCTAGGAGTTCCTGCATGTGAATTTCTTCCAAAACTTCCCCTTTTTGTGAGCAGGAGTCACGAGGAAAAAGAATGTCTTAATTACTACAGTAGTTAGGGATGATTATTTAATGAATCAGGCTGTTTATGAGGTCAGTTTTTCCTCTTAATTTTCCTGAGAACTGGAGAGAGGGACATGAGTAAACATACTGCATCACACTCTCACTGGGTGTGAAGCTTTGTGATTAATTGTCGTCAGCTGTATAAAATAGTTAGGATGTAGAGCATGAGAGAATTGCAAGACAGTGTTGTGACTTCCATTTACTTTGGAGCTCTTTTTGGGTCCCTTCCACACCCTCCAGAGATAGGGCTGTGGGAAGTTGGGATGCTACTGTTTTTCAGATCAGCTGGGCCTGAGATGAAGGCTCCAGACCTCTGCTGACTCCTCAGGTGGATCCTCCTCTGGAGACTACATCCTCACCACCACACAGCAAGTCAGCGTTGCAAGTACCTCTGCAGAAGGATATTAAATTCTTTGCTTTGCTAATGGACCAGGCTCAGGGAGAAAGATGTTCCTATTGCTTCAGCAACATGACATGATACAGCCAAGCATAACTCAAGTAACTTCAAATGGGTATCTCATGCTGGAGCTAAGGAAGGATTGCTGTGAACGTAGGTGAGTTTTCCCCTTGTGTGCTTGTCACAGAGTTAACTAGATCAATCTATGCCCATGACAGGGGGCAGTAGGCCCCTGCCCCCCAACCCCCTGGCCCCACAAAATGGGAAGGAAGGAAGGGAGGAGAAAAAAAAAAAAAAACCAGCAGCAACAATCTATGGAGGAAAACTTATTTTACTAACTATGATATCGGAATGCAAGATAACACAATAT